TCTGTATATGTGAATAAGTGAAGGTTCATGGTTTTAGCTAATTATTGGCTATTCTCAGAGGAAAACTTTATGTACAGTTGTTTTCTGTTGTTTACTTGTTCATCATGCGATGTGATGTTTAATAATTAAAACTTTATTGCTTAACTGAAAAGAACATTATGTTAATCAAAAAGGAAACTGAAAAATTAATTGATAATCAAAATTCATCATTGAAAATTGCCAAACCAACAGTAACATAGAAATCTTCAGATGTATGGAATTTTTTTTCTAATATGTATGTGAACGATGTGAAACAAGAATATGTTATGTGCAATAAATGTCGGATTCTACTTATTTATAAACATTCTTCTGGTACTCATTCACTGTCTAAACATATTCGTTTTTGTCAAAATACTACAAATACCACCAAGGTTTCAGAAGTTCAAGCAAATATCAAGCAGTATTATGGACCTACGAAAAATGACTCTTATATTCCAAATCGAGTTAAACAGGAAATTAGAGCAGCTTGTACTGAATTTGTAATACTTGATTCTCGATCATTTCAAACAATTGGTGGTAAAGGTTTTAAAAATTTGGCACAAAAAATTTTTAATGCTGGTCGATACTTACCTGTAACACGAGAAATTAACATTGAGAATTTACTTCCTACTCCAACAACAGTAAGAAAGATATTTTTTATTCGATTGTATCTTTATATGAGGCGATTTTCTTCTTTTTATTAGGTGAGTCGTTATATTGACCAATTGTACGATGAAAAACATAAACAATTGGTTTCAATTAGCCAAAACTTGGTTTCGTACACGATCGTTGTCGATTTTTGGAAAGATTCTTTTACTGGTTAGTTGGATTAATATATGATGCAAGTTTGTAAATATTTTTTGTCACTTCAGGAATTCAATATTGTGGAATATCGTTGCATTATATCAGTACTGATTGGAAACCATATTGTTTTGTTCTGGGTTGTTACCAGTATGACTTGGAATCACACAGTGCAATAAATACAAGAAAATTTGTTGAATCAAAATTATCAGATTTTGGTCTAGAATTAAATGATTCTATATATGTTGTTTCTGATAATGAGCCGAAGATGATTGCTACATTTAAATCTAACTGTCAAAGAATTGGATGTGCGGCACATTATATTAATAAGCAGCTTGAACATGGATTTAATAAAGAAGAAATTAATAAATTACCTGTGGCATGCGATGTTGTTCAAAATGTATTTGATTGTGTCAAAAAAATTGTAGCCCACATTAAAAAATCACCAAAACAAACCAAATTGTCGAAACGTGTTCAAACGTATTCTGATACCAGATTTAATGGAGCCTATCATATGTTACATGTTTTTTTCGAAATCTTTGACGAGTTAACTATGGTTCTTGATGGCACGAATTTAAATCAGTATTTGCTATTAGATAAAGATTTGTTGGAGCAAATTTGTTTATTTCTGAAAGTGTTCGATGAGGTCATCGAACAACTTAGTGATGATAAAAGACCTACAATTTATAAAGTACTTCCACTTCGGCAACGTCTTCTTAATGAATGTAAAATTAAGGATAATGATCATATTGGTTTGCAAAAATTGAAACAATTTTTGTGTAAGTTGTATAATTTTATATTCTTGAAATTCTCATTGTTATTTCTGTAAAAATATTCAAAAATGAATATAAATTTTCTGCTACATTTCTAATATCGATGTATGATCAATTGCTTAATTCTTCATTTTTTTCTTCTTTCTTTATTGCAGCTTCTCGTATACAAACAATATGGGTTTTACATGATGTTCATTTTATATCAACTTTTCTTCATCCATCGTTCAAGCAATTTCAAATTGCTCCTAATGAGAAGCAAAAAGCTATTGATTTGGTTAAAGCAGAAATATTAAAACGCCAATCATCTGCAACTTCTGAACCATCAGTCGTTGATATTAACTCTTCTTCTTCAACAAAATCATCAACAACATCAAAATCTCAACAAATAAAAACCATTACAACAACACAAAATATTCTTGCACAATGTTTTGATTTACCAATTGAAGATAAAGATATATTAGCTGTTCCATCACCTGACCAAAAACTAATGGAGTATATTGTTTTGAATGATATATTACAATTAGATGATGACGTTTTAATATTCTGGAAGAATAACCAGAACAAGTTTCCGATTCTTTCATCAATCGTGGCAGATATATATAGTATTCCAGCTTCGAATACTACTGTCGAACGTCTGTTTTCATCAGCTGGTTATACTATTTCCAATCGTCGAACCAACTTAAATCCCGGCAAAGTAAACAAGCTATTATTTTTAAACAAAAATCTATTATTGCTAAAAGAACTTGATCGTCATCGTCAACAATTAGTAAGTACGCAAAAAAAAAGAAAATTACCTGCAAAATCAACATCGTCATCTTCATCATCAAACAACGTTTACATTCACGATGAACAAGAACAATTATCGACAACATCATCATCAACAACCAAAAAGATTCGGACTTTTGACGATGATTTGTTTAGCGATGAAGACATTAGTAATAAAGATAGTGATATATTTATTGAAGACGATGAACAAGATTAAAAACGAAATGTTAATTTTGTTTATGATAAAATAGGTGCCATATATCTAGGTGTAACTAAAACATGTTATTCACATTCGCTTATTTTTTTCCATTTTTCTTATTTTTTTCAACTTCATTTGTTATTTGTATTTCAAATGACTTTTTAATTACAAAATTAAAAATAGCTAAAAGAATTTTGAAACAGAATACAGAAAATATTATACGTTGACCTGAACTCTTCAATATTTAGATACGTAATTGAATGCACACCGGGTCTGAAAGTAAATCATATATGGACCCGGACCCGGACCGGGTCCGGGTCTGGGCGGACCCGCTGGTCTCTAACCCACACCCACACCTACACACCAACACACCACACCCACACCCATACACCCACACCCACAACCCACACCCACACCCACACCCACACCCACATCCACACCCTCTTTACTTTTAATCTTACTTCTATTTCTATTTTTACTTCAGTTCTACAATTTTATTTTAATCATTATTTTAGTCACACAATTCGTTCTTATTTTACTGTCCTCCTTCAACATATCTTAATTTAATTTTTAATTTTTATTATATACATTTCTTCTTTTATTTTGATTTTAATTGTAATTTTTTTCAATTGTGCTTTTTCTTATAATGCAGAGCCCTGAAGAGTGTTTTCTTATTTTTATAAATAAACATGAAACGCGTCGGTGTAAATTAAATCTGCATTTTAGTTTTCGTTTATTAATTCAAGCACACTATTTATAAAATATTTAAATTTGACTTTATCGGTTGCTGAAAAAGCAAAAATTGAGAGTAGCAGATTGATTTGTATTTAAAACAAAAAATATAAATTGATCTGTTTTCAAAATTGTTTGTTTGATACACCCTTGAATTTTTCGACCCCGATTTACTTTCGTCAACCTTTACACCCATGTAAAAAAATGACCTCAATAATCACAAAAAATCTGATTTTTAATCGATTATAATCATACGATTTTTTGATCAATGGTTTACATAGAAATAATCAGAAAAAAATCTGTTTTTTTTTTCAATTTGATTATAATCGATTTTTTTAACTCAATTTCAAACCGATTAGAATCAAACTGAAAAAAAACTGATTTTTTTCTGATTACTTCCGTGTAAACCATTGATTAAGAATCATATGATTATAATCGATTAAAAATCAGATTTTTTCTGATTATTGAGGTCATTTTTTTTACATGGGCAGAAAACAACTTTCATCGGATGTTTTTTTGACCTTTACACAAACACACAAACAAGCACAGGGACTCATTATTTTTTCATATGACCTTGTCTACATACATTCGAGAGAATAATCATATTCAAGTGAGTGCTGTCAAATGTAGAAAAATTATTTGCATGTAAACAGAATGAAAAATTTTCCTTTAAAGATGAAAGAAAATATTTACAGCAGAAAGCTTTTTCTTTACTTTTGTTAAGTAGTGAATGCTTAAAAAGTTACAGAAACACTTCATTATTTTAAATTTTATTTAAAATAATTTTTATTCTTTCTCTTTGAAACAGACTTTTGTTTAAGTTGAGATAAATTTGATTTATTTTCATGATTAAGACCAAAACGCATGATTTTTAATCTGTTATTTCTATTAGTTACACTGCTTGAGGAAACAATTATTTTAATCATTTTGCTTTTTGTCATTTGAAAGTTACGCTTCTACTTTCTGTCAGAGATTAACTGTTCTTTTTTGTTTAGAAATTAATAATTATTTGTTTGTTGTAAAATGTTATCATTGAAAAATTATTTTGTCAACATAAACATATATGAATCACCGACTGATTCAACAGCAGCTACAGATGAAGAGAAAGAGCATCAACGTCGATCAAATATTATTGCAACTCGAATCTTTTTCATTGTTTTCATCATCGTTCTATTAGTACTCGGTACTATTATGAAAGCAAGAAGTCGAAATACACTTATAACAGTTGAAAATCCGAGCGAAGATCAATTCATAAATTTGCCATATGATGCTCATTGTCCATGTTCTCGTATATCATTAACCTACGGTGAATTTATTTCAATTCAAACTCGATTTCATCGCATATGTTCAAGTGATTTTATATCTGATCGTTGGATTAAAACAATTGATTTTGGTTCAAATAAAACGTATTTTTTTATTGAGGACTTTCGAACTGAGGCGAGTGCAATATTTCAATTCCTTGAAAGTTTTTGTCGACTTTCAAAAGATTATGCTATTCAAAGTATTGATTCATTTATTAAAGATTTATTTATAAGTCAAGAAGTTTTAAAAGAATCTGTATTTGAATCCCAAACAAATGTCACTATTCATCAATTTCAATTATCATCACCTATCGAATTCTCAACAGAATTAAAATTAATACAAAAAATAACAACCGGAAGCCGTTTTCTATCTGCTCTTCAGACTAATTATATGCAATGGTATGCGTTTTCATATAATAATTTAGTTCCAATTGTGATCCATAACCGAATTCTCTGGGATGGACATTCTTCCTCAACATGTTCTTGCCGGATTCGTATTGACTGTACCACCGAATCAATGATATTTAACGGATTGAGAGCTGGTCTTGAGATTTTTCCGCCTGATGATATAATATTAATGAAAATTCCTGGAATGGTGCACAGCTGTTTACCAATAAATACACTTCTTCTATCAACATTAGAATGTTTCTACAATCAAACATGTTTAAATGATCTTTTTTCTTTCTTATCTACAAATGAAAATTTTACAGCAATGTCACAATTCGAACAAAGTCGTTATAAATTAAATTCAACAATAGAAACTATTATTGATAAATTAATGATTGAAGAATGGATGATCGATATTTCTTATAAGAAATATTATGAACAATGCGCTCCACTCTCATGTACTTACTTTAAGAATGAGCAATATGGTTGGAAATTTGTATTGATACAATTAATTGGTTTATTAGGATCTTTAACAATGGTATGTAGTTTTATTATAGAAAATATAGTTAACTTCATTCGACGACGACCATCTCAAAATACAGAATCAATACCTTGTAAGTTTAGTTGTTTGTTTTATTAAATAAAATATGTTAACTACTTTCAGTTCATCGAAATTCCTTCTTATAAATATGAGCAGAGCGAGGTAAAGTTTCTAAAGAACGCAATTCTAAGCAGAGTTGGAATCAGACAAACCGATCATAAATGATCTAATATATCAGTCACTCCTCTCCGGTTTTTACTGGTGTGGAACATATTTTGGACTGATTGAACCGAGCTGGCTTGAAAGTTTTAGATTGGTTCCAACTCTGATTGTACATATCCTGTTACTTTAGAGTTCAGAGGTAGATGAATCGTGGTGTTACGTCACTTTATCCCTTAGCTGTATTGAATTTTTTAAATATTTTTTTTCTTAAACGTGTGTATTTCTCTTTCACAATTCTATCTTTAGATGCAGGGTAAGCCGATAAGTAATAATATGGCGATAAGAAATATAAATGTTTCGTGTTGAATTTATTCAGATGGGCTCATATTTTTCGCTGATAATAGTCTACTCAAAGGATTTTTTCCCCTCTGGATAATGTCAGCAGATTTTACTGTTAAATATTTCAACTGGCCTGGTGAAAACAACTTGATTACAGTGCAAACTGAAAGAACGTCAAACGAAACATTAAATGTTTCGTAGGATTTTACCATATGTCATCGGATATTGTACAAGTGTACGAAATCTTTTCAAGGTTTCTTAAGCTTTTAGTTTCTATACAACATTTGTTCTGAAGTTTCGAAATCAAAAAGGTTTCATAGAAAACCTCTTCATGGTGTCACAGCCAAATAGTATGGTACGAAACTATTTCGTTTATGATTCAGCAAGAAGTCGATTACTCAAAGTCCTCATCGATCTGAGTTTCTTTGTCGTTGATCTACTTATCAAACGCTTTAGAATGAACTTTAGGCTTTTTTCTAGTCTTTCTTGAGTTCTCATATTTCAATACCTGACTTCTTCTAGAGGAGTAGAAAATGCTGTGATTATACTGCAATAATCTTTAACATTTTCTAGAGCCAAATAAACAAACTAGAAGTTCAATACGTTTCTGTATACCAATATTCTTAAACACCAGTTTGATTAAGTTTATTGTGTTTTTGTCAAAGTCTATTGTTTATAATTATTTTCGATCAAAATTACTAATCATCATCCTATCCTAAACATGATTCTTTAATAAAAACTTTTCTCTTCGTATTATTATTTATATTTCATTATAGTTTTTGTGGAGATCGAATTACGTTAAAGCAATATGACTAGTGCCCACTGATAATATCACTCAGCCAATGACAATGTAGACAGAAAAGCATACACTTTTCGAATATTAACAATAGTTGTCATCCGTCAAAATAGACTTGAACCGATAGTAATAGGTAAGGAGGATTGAGAAACATGTATGGAAGGAATTTCACGTGGATAGAACACGTCACAAATACATCCAACGGATTAATAGCAGTTTTAATAGTTAGTACCGGTATGCAACAAATGAGGCAGAGCCTCCCGATTCAACAATTAATCTTAGGGATTAATGACTCTAAACATTAAGTCATCATTTTATGTGCTATACGGTTTCGACGTAAGAAATAGAGCATATTTAGCGGGATTTAGATACAAATATATGGCATGATAATAGTTTTAAGGTTTAATGTACAGTTATAAATCTTAATCTCTTGAATACTTCCATCTTCAGACTGAAGACAAGCGGAACGAAAGAAAGTTTCTTTTCTTCTTCCGAACTAATAGACAGCTGATAAACATAGAGCCAGTATAGAGGATTGTTCACATATGATGGATCAGATCACAAGGTTAAGTATAGGTATAAGCAGTTGTAGTAGCTGTTTGGGTTGAAACCCAGATAAATAGGATTAAGCCATAGTTACAAGAGCTAAGGTATAGATATTTAGGAATTGGTAATACTTGTAATGATTAGTGATAGTGTTAAGGCAATATATTTGGATATAGGGAGATAATACTAGTTTTAAGAGTTACGAGTAGATATAAGGAGTGAGTGATAAAAGTAAGATTTAGGTATAAGTCTACGGTACAACCGATATAGTTGTAAATCAATAAATATTGAAGTCAAATGAAAATGTATCGATGATATGCCATTATTTTGCAGTTAGTGGGAACTCTCGAGCACGAAACCTTACTCATACGGTACTTAAAAAGGGTTTTGAATCCATTTCAAATTTAGGAACCGTTTTTAAGTTTCTTATGGCACCTATATTTTTCGATGTGGTTGTTAAGTACGACTAATGCATATGAAATATTGTGTAGATGATTTTCAGTTATCATTTGGCAGAATGACTTCAAAAAGTTTCATTCTTCTGAAAGATACAATATGGATGTAAATTGAGATAAATCTCTTGACTAATCAATTTAACGTGAGCGATATCAATATTTCCAATTTTCAGACACGGAACGCCAAATTTTGTTGGAAACTTGCGGAGCTGTTAGGCAAATGCTTCCAGATACGCGTTGCAGTTATCTGATACGAGTTCTAGTAAACTCTGTCTTCCATTAAAAGATCTCCAGAGAAGATAGAATATGAAAGAAGTATTAGAAGCCTATGGTTTATATCATACACAAGAGTTTTCAGATTTGTATAAAGTCAATTTTCCTCTCAGTACTGATTGTTTACAGAAGCAAGCACTCTGTGCGTCAGAAAGTGTAGCAGACAACGTTTCATATATTGTTTTCCGATGATTTGAATGGTAAAATTTTTTTTATTTTTCAGTACTGTCTTGGGTATGCACTTGGGATAGTCGACAAGTAGTGAGAATGATATTTTAATATCATATAATATCTTTAGAAAACTTTCTTTCTATGTAGTGTGATAAAGAAAGAAAATGGTCTATTTTTTATGTTATTTTATCAGACTTCTACTACATAATATCATAATAATAAAATTTCGATAGAACCTGTTTTTTCTATTGTATGCGACGGTTGTGCTAGTAGCTATTCAGTGGATATGTTTTAACTAACTTTTGATCGAAATTAGATAGAGAGCTGCGACTTTCATCGTTCGAAAGAGAAGATCAAGATGCATCGAATCGTTTATTTTAGGTTTGTTCACATGGTTCTTTTAAGGTTTTCAATCGATCTATTTCGAAGTAAATCTATTTGTTAGGATGGTCACAGCGAATTTCAAATTGTCAGGCGTGTATTCAAACCGTCGCTAGAAGACTTACAAAACTACCGAAGGTTCATACATTTCGAACAGCCATTCAGCAGTTGTAGCTGTTCTAATCGAAGTTCTAAGTGATTTGATTAGGAATTTCTGTCAGGATATAAAAAGTCGTTTTTTGATACTTAGAAAATCGATTGAAGAAAGATCAGATGATGTCTAGAAAATATACATTATGCACTTCAATGTATCTTCCTGACCGCTTTCCTATGATGGAATCCGTAGGTCTCTCTTATTACTATCAAAAGTTATCCAAAACATATAGTAGAACTGTTCCATAAGATAAGAAAACAGAACATATCGAAGTTTTGTCATTGTGATATTAGTTGAAGTATGATCAAATAGCAAAGAAAAATAGAGCAGTGTTTGCTCTATTAGTTTACATAGAAAGAAAGGGTTCTCAAACTTATTATGTGATACTGAACTGTCGCTCTCACTGCTTTTTGACTACCCGACGTATAATATCATTATAAAAATCGATGCACAGGATGCACAACAATGTTTTTCCAGGAGAGAACGCATTTGATTTTATAAAGGATTCCGAAACAATTTTATATTAGATTAAAACCCGTTAAAAATGGAATCTATCCATATTAAATACTAAGAATCATGGAATGCTTTTGATGTCGAATTCAAGATTTTCGAAAATTCTATACCTCTTTCGCGAAAAAAAGCAGTAGATAGCCAGTTGTTAACAATGGAATAAAATGCTATCTAGAAAATTGTTACATAGCTCGATAGAAGAAGTATATTTTGAATTGTCTATTGTTTAAAAAAAACGAAAAAACAAAACTACTTTTATTGAAAAAACCATATGCTTTTCTTTGATCTCATAAAAATGATTCATTTTTTTCTAAAAATATATAAAATTTTGTAGAGATCGACGCGTTCTATGGAACCATCTAAAAGTATCCTAGAAAATATTTTATTCCTTCGTCAATCTCCAGTTATCTTAACCTTTTTTTTCGTGAACAAGGTATCAAATTTTCAAAAATGTTGTAAGTTCACCATCAAAAACGTTCGATAACTCTTACTATTTAGTATGGACTTTATGAATTCTATTTTAAATCATAGTGTTAAACTTGCTCACTCTGAAAAGCCCTTTTACACATCCTGTATATTCATACTAAATTTCACAGAATGTTGTAACTTAGTCAAGTTGTTTGAAATAATGACTCCACTATAGAGTTTTCGAAATTTCTCTACGAAAGCCATATTCATAGCTCACTCATATTAGAAGCCCTCTTCAAAACTTCTGAATAATAGGTAGTTTAGACGCTTTCGCGGGCTTCTGTTATGAGAAAGGGTTTATCCAAGAGGGGAAAAAGCAAGATTTCGTATTTCACCCGTACTTCAAATTTTTTTTTTGAAGAAGATGAAGTCTCGCTTTTTCCCCTGTAGTAGAACGCCGATATAATAAGAATGAGGATGTCTCCATATAAAGAATACTACGTTAGAATCATATAATGTAAGAACGCTGCGTCTATCGACACATCATAGTAAGTTAGTTCAAAATATGTTCTATATTTATATCAATGTGATGTTATTCAGCAAACTTTTTCAAAGTTTTTCAAGTCATTCTGCCAAACAACAACTCAAAATTGTCTACGCGGTATTTCATATGCATTTTTCTCACTTGATAACTACTAATAGTAGTTATATGTTTTTATTAGGTCAATTGAAATACATAAAAATAGTATTTAGGGTTCTCGAATGAAAAAGAAATTGGTAAAGCTTTAGTACTAAACAAATAAGCTCGTCTGAATGAATTGAAATCAAAATATTTAAGTTTCGCTATAACCTCGTTATTACTTATAGGTAAGACTGTATATGAATCATACCTCTTCACCTCAGGAAATACAATATTAATAATCGAAAGCTATTTAAAACTTTATGAATAAATAGTCTGAAAGCAAGACTTCGATTGAGATGAGGTATGATCAAACGATGACGTTATGACTCCTTGATATACCCGTCCATGCCTGACACGATTCATTCTATTCTTAAAACTTTGCATAGAAAAGACGGTAGCACAATAGACAAACGGAGGCATCCAGTGAAAACAAAAGTTCTTTGTATGTTGGATGAAACTGTTGTGAACATGATATTAAACAGAACATAGTTATTCATTGTAAAGTATGGTGAATACACCATCGATTTAAATAGAAGAAATGAGAAAGAAGAAGATCTATATACAAGGAAGTTCTCAGTTAATGAAGACTACAAGACATGTGTACGTTTTATGTCAATAGAATCGATTTTATTTATTTGACTTTTTTTATAACACAAGAAACTTCTTAAAATTGAGAAATACATTTTATAATAAAAAATCTCGATTTTATCTTACACTTTTTGAGGGAGAAAATAAAGTTTGTTGTTTTTAGTAGAACAATGACTTCCTTTTTTAAAATCGGTACACCGACATATTTTTCTTGTTAATTTTATTGACTGGCTTGATTTATTATGGAAATTATTTGAGAAGAGAAAAGTTATTGATTTGTTTTTCTTAATTCAAATCTAAAACTGAAATTATTTTTGTTTATTTTGTGTTTAGTGACAAAAAAGATAAAAAAACTTTTGAAGAAAACTTTAATTGAACTAAATATGTTTAAAGCTGATGGAAGTAATCAACATCAAATCAGTTATCAAACAATTGCAACTCGATTGTATTTACTCGTTCTTCTCATTACACTTATTATAATTAGTCTTTATTTATTATTAAATGAAGATCTTCAACAAAAAACAATTCATCAACCATCGGAGTTTCAATATAAAGAACTTGAAAAAATTTATTCTTTAAGTCTTTATTGTCCATGTTCAACAGTTTCAATGAATTATTCAACTTTTATTACGATTGAACCTTACTTTCACCAAGTATGTTCAAGTGATTTGATATCAGATGCATGGATTAACTATGTCAAGGGTGACAATGTCATGAACGATTATGCTCCAATATATGACTATCTAAATTCTGGTGTATTCTACTTTCAGCTATTGTCATTGTTATGTCAACATGCCCAACAAACAGTTAATATTAGTATCAAAGCATTTGTTCAAACACAATTTCTTTCTTCACAAGTTATTCCTCAAAATCGATTTGAAACTAAAGTTAATTCATCTATTAATGATTGGAAATCTCAAACTATCGATCAATTTTTAGAAACAATAAAAATATTTCAAGCTGTATCACATGTAAATCGACTTATGAGTGAACAGTTTCATTATTATATTCCTTATATAGGTTCGAATGATACAAAAACAAACCTTGAAGTAGTAGAATATTTCAATTGTTCATGTACTTTATCTTCATTATGTTTTATTCCTCTTGGCATCTACAGTAGCGAAATAGATTATTTGGAGCTTCCAGAAATGGCTGTCAGAGTCCCAAATCTGTTTCTGGGTTGTTCTTCAATCGAAGGATTAATGAAATCAACTTTAGAATGTTTTTATAATATGTCATGTATGATAGAATTAGATGGAAGCTTGCTTGTTCCTCCTGGAGCAGTTTTTTATTTTTCAAATTTAAATGAAAATCTTAGTCCACCGAATGAAACAATTGAATCAATTATCAATAAACTTATGATTGATTCTTGGACATTGAATATTTCATTTTCTTCATATTATAAGACATGTTCTCCAGCATCATGTACATATGAATTTCTTAGTCGAAATGATTTATTCGTTGTTATAACAACAATTCTCAGTATTTTTGGTGGTTTATCTCTTGGATTAAAACTACTTACTTTAATTATTCTTCGATTTATTGAGAAAATAGTTAATAATAATTCTTTTAATGAATTTACAACAATGATAAAAAACTTATTTGTTTGTAATACTGAGCAACGTCTTGTTAATCGACTTCATTTGGTTTTTCTTTTACTAACATTATTTTTTATATTTACATTTTCTGCTTTTAAACCCAAATCAATTACTGTCCAAATACTGAAGCCATCACTTTCAAAGTATAAAGATTTATTACAAGATCATTCTGATTCTCTTCAGTGTTCTTGTTCACAAATATCTATTCTATATGAAACATTTCTTTCGATTGAACCTCATTTTCATGATTTATGTTTAAGTCAATTTATTTCTGATGAATGGATTCATTATATTTATGGTGAAGGTAATCTTTCTCGTCGATTTTCATTCGATGATTACCGTTATTCAGCTCCCGGACAATTCCTTTCACTTTCTTCTCTTTGTAAACTTAGTCAAGAAAAAGTAAATCATACCCTTTCGCTATTTCTGACAAGTTATTTTATTAATTCTCAGCTTTTATCTGAAAATCTTTTAATTGAGCAGATTGAAATAATTCTAAATCGACTGCAATCAACTGCGTCTAAATCATTTCTTAATATTTTTAATTTAATTCGTGAAGTAATTGGTTCAAATATGATTATGAGTGCATGGATCACTAATTGGGAATATGTTCCTGAAACTACATTTTCGCCTGGTCTACCTGTACGTACAGCACCTATAGGCTATGGTGAATGTAATTGTGGATTATCATTTAAATGTACTCAACCATCAGGAGGTATGATGAGTGGTTGTTATCCACTTGAATCTATTCTTCAAACAAAACTTCACTGTTTTTATGATCAAAACTGTATTGATTCAAATGGAAATTTTAAAAGATTAAATATGTCAACGTTGGAAAAAAGTCAATTTAATTTAAATTCAACAATCAAATCAATTTTAAATAATTTAATGGTTGAAGATTATAAAAGTGATTTATCATATGAAGATTATTTTAATCAATGTAAACCATTATCATGTTCATATTTTTATATCAAAACTCATGATATAATTCAAACAATATTATCTCTCATTTCTCTTTATGGTGGATTAGTTCTTATAACTCGTTGTTTAGCAATTATTTTAGTGAAAATTTATCAATATAAAAGAAATCGAATTAATCCTGAAGTTCTTCAACAAAATATTTAATATCTATTACGAAAGGAAAAACTAAGAATATCGAAAGGGAAATAAATTAATTTTGTCAAAGCTTTTGATGTTGTACTGGAATTATTTAATAAATTTATCAATCATATAAACATTATTTTTTAATAGAGACTTATGAATTGTATGAAATTATAATTTTTAACAGTACAGATCAGGTGTATGCAACTCAGCTCAGGAAATAAGTTTAACGGAATTGAATTTGAGGATGAGAGTAAAAGGTGAATCAAGCAGCTACCACGACTTTTGGTCTTACGCTAAATGGGTCTCATCAGGCAGTTTCGACTCCATGAGAATATGTCAGCTTCTCCACGCAGTACGCTAGTTCTAAATTCTAAATGCTTATGCTAAGTAGTAGAGGGTGTGGATGTGGTAACTCTTCATGTTTCTCTATACTGACACCCACACTCTCACCCACACCCTCAAGGTTCATCATCACTCTTTGTCGTATCATCCATATTATCTGTATGGCAAAGTGGAAAACGAATTATATGTAATTCATCTGTATTTATAATAGATAGTTTAAAACAAGTTCTTCGACACGTTTTGCAGCTGATGTTCGTTTTTGGTTACTAATTGTTAATGTTGTATCTAATCCATCATTTTTTTTATTTACTAGAATATTTTGTTATTCATTATGAGTTTAAATTAATAATTGATCGAAATCAAATAATTTTGTATATTTAAGGGCGATTTTAAGTAACTCCAATGAGTCTGATAGAAAATTATCATCATTACGTTGTAAACAAATGCGACACACCATATCAAAACGCTAACGAAGCTATCATGGGTGTGGATGTGAGTGTGACTGTGGGTTGTGGGCCCGGGACTATTTCCAGAGAAGACCCACAAGCCCACCCACACCCTTCTTTCGTTTTGTTTAATTTACTAAATATTAGGTTGGAGTGTAAGTTCTGCAAGTTTGGATCTGTAGAATTATGTCGCCAATATAAAACTACATTTTAAGGTAAGTAATTATATATTCTGATA